TGAATAATTTAAAAGCGATGTATGATAGGGTATTATGGTTATCACAAGAGTCCACAATTAAGGTTGCATAGTGGAATGTACTTGGGGCGGGGGGAGGGGTGCTGGAGGATTGTGTACCAGGGAGGGAGTCTTTCTTTTACTTTTGAAGGAGAGGAGCGAACTGGGGGGCGGGGTGAGAGGGCTGGGCGGGTGGAGAAGTGTAGCAATGAATGAACGGAAATCCAAATTCTCTGTAAATGTTCGTTAAAATGATTTAAAACAAAAATATAGCCTTTAAAAAAAAACCCCGAAAGTTTATAGAATAAATCCTAGGCCTCCAACAAGAAAAACACCCACTTACAAAATGGGTGAAAGACATGGAAAAATTTCTCAGAGGAAGACATTCAGATGGCAAACAGAAACCTAAAGAAATGCTCAAAATCACTGGCAATAAGAGAGATGCAAATCAAACCCACAATGAAATACCAACTCAGCTCAGTAGCAATGGCAAAGTTCATCAGGGCAACAAGCAATAAATGTTAGAAAAGATGTGTAAAGATGGGAACTCTCAAATATTGTTAGTGGGATTGTAAAATGGTACAACCACTCTGGAAGGCAGTTTGATGTTTTGTCAGAAAGATGAACATAGAAACTCCATATAATCCAGCTATTCTACCATTAGGAATATACCTTGAGAAAATTATAACTGAGACACAAACAGAAATTTGTACATCAGTGTTCCTAGTAGTGTTACTCACCATCATAAGAACATGGAAATAGCCCAGATGTCCAACCACAACTGAATGGATTGAGAAATTGTGGTACCTTCACACAATGGAATGAATACTAGACAGAACTCAGGAGCAATAATTTAGAAAAATACTACATAACTTAGGAGAGATTGGAGAGCATTATGCTTTCTGAACTAACTCAGTCTCATAAGGACAAATACTGCATAAGATCATTATTGTAAAATTAGAAGGATAACTAGTAAAACACGTATGGGGACGCAAAGGGAAAATGGTGGGAGCAGAGAGGTGAGAGTTGGTAGAGGTGAAACCACAGGGTTGTACATTTTGGTGAGTGGAGGGAAGGGGTGAAGGAAATGAGAAGGACCAAGTGGAGATTTGAAAAGATAGGATAATAAAGGGCAAGGTCCCATGGGGATTAAATGGTGTTATTTTTTACAAAAGACTAATTGCATTAGGGAAATCTGCTCTCAGGGATCTTTCCAAAGTACTAAAGAGGAACAATGTCTAGGGATTAAGGTGTGCCTGATCTTCATGGTCTTCACAATTACTTGCTATGCATCAGAGCTTGAAAATGACTAAGAATGACAGAAGAACAATCAATGCCTATCAGCTGTGGTGCTAGGGAAAAGTACTGAACATACCATGGACTGCCAAGGGAACAAACAGGTCTATCTTGGAGAGGGTGAAACCAAGTTGTTCCTTGCAGACAAGGATTCTGAAGCTCCATCTCACATACTTTGGACATGTGGCCAAGAGGGATCATTTCTTAGAGAAGGTCTTCATGGAGGGAGAGGAAGACCCTGGATGAGAAGGATTTACTCAGTAACTGGATCAATGGGATTGGGGACAGTGAGACTGGTCCAGGACAGGACAGGATTCAGAGCCTGTACAAACGGTCACTAAGAGTTGCAGAGATTTCAATGGTACAGAACAATAACAACACTGTATGTAGGGTCATTAAGAGTTGAAGGTGAGTTGAAGGTGACTCAACGGTACATTAACAAGAACAACAGAATAGCAGGAATAGCAGTTGCTGGTGGGTTCTGGCAGAATGCTAGGAGTTTATGAAGTATGTTGTGGCTGGAGTTCTACTGAGACTAGTCACTGTCCTGAACAGCTACTGCATCATGGATGTACTACATCTCTTTGTGGATGAAGCCTTTAGGCTGGCTGGTGGTTTTGGTTAGTGATTCTGGCTTTACTGCCTGATAAGATCAGAACACTCTTCATGTCCCATGAATTCCAGTGGAAGATGAGGCTGTGTTTCTGTCTTTGAATTTCTGGTGAGTCTCTGGTTTCTGATCAGACTGGTGTGGGCCTATAGAAGTTGAATTTATGTAAGACAGAAAAGCAGCTTGCAGATATTCTGGCTATACTTATTGAAGAAAAACATCAGCTTCAGAACAAACTGACTGGTGCTCATGATGAGTGTGCAGAGACTGAGTTCATTCTGAAGAAGAAACAATAGGAGAAAAAGGTGTTGATGATCAAGAGGTCTGAGGACTGCTAGCACAAGGGTAGCAGAAGGAAAGCAGAGTTGAGAAACCTCAATCACAACGTGGAGGGTGCCAAAAGGTCCCTTCAAGGAAAGGAGTGGGCAGAAGTGAGGAAGACCCCGGAGCACCTGGAGGAGGTGCGAAAAGTCCTCAGAGCCCGAGAGGGCTGGGTCAGCAGGAGTGTGGTTCTGCAGGTGTCAGCTACTCCTTCCCCTCCATGTGGCCTCCTGAGCTGCCAGGGTGTGTCACCTCCCAGCCTGACCACCACGGAGGGGCAAATGGGGCCAGTGGACACAGGGGAGTGTTAGTGCCTAGAACTCTCCCCTTCACTCCTGGACCCATGTCTCCTTTCTGGTCATCAGATGATTCAGGAGTGTGGACCTTTTTCTCTTCAAAGACGGAGAATCATCTCTATCAATGTGAGCACTATACTGACATGGAAATACTACTCCCCATACCATTTCTAAAATACCTGATTTTCTTTTAAATATTTATACAGTAAAAAAAAAATTAAATACTGTTCATTACTCAAATTGTATATGGTCTCAATTTAGATACATAACCACATGCATAACAGCAAAGGACGCACACATTCGGCTGGTGAAGTGGCTTACCTGTGGGTATGATTGAATCTCTGTATCAAACGACTCCCGTCTGCTAACCTGATTTGGATTTTTGTTGTTGGCACAGAGTCATCAGTAAGAACGACTGCATTAAGGATTGACTTATCCTCTTCTTCTGGTGAGGAAGGTGTACTAACTATTTCAGGTGTAAGGCTAAGAAAGAAGAATGAAAGAGTCAGCACACAAATCCAAACATAGAAGACAGTAGAACAAACAATTAAATCTAGACTCAATCTTCAACTGGTCCCAAGTATGACTTCTGGACTAGCAACAGCATAGTTTTGAGTTTTATGTTTTCCAACCTATTTCACAATAATAAAATTATTCAGAAGCTTATCATTCTGTGTACGTGTCCAAGCTCTATTCCTTCCTCCTCTTCCTCCTTGAACTTTCTTGACTCTTTAGCCTGACAGCTCCTTTAGTCAGAAATGTGAACAACTTTGAGGTGAAGTCAAGAATGAACAGGACAGAAAAAATAGGCTTCCAACTCCATCTATGCCAACTGTGTCAACCTCAGCAAGTAAGTTACTTCTCTGAATCCTAGTTCTAACATACGTGAAATGGAAGGAAAAAAGAGTTGATCCTTGAGCAATATGCCGACTTCCTCACACATAAGAAAATCCAAGCATAACTTAGAAGTCAGCCTTGGAAAAAACATATTTGAACTGTGCAGGCTCAAGTTGCTAGTATCTACCTGGGATGCTGTGTGACACTAATCCTTGCATGAGCAATTCCACTTCAAGGTAAGAGGAACTCAGTCAAAAATGATTAGCAACATTTGAACTCACATCAATAGGGGAAAAAAATCCAAGTAGAAGCAGGTTATTGCAGTCCAAACCCACGTTGGTCAAGGGTCAACTGTATTACTATGTGATCCTTAAAGTCTTTAAAAGTCTTTAATATAGTGGCTAACACAAAGGGATCCCAATAGTTAGCTGCTAACAATGCCAAACTATAGTGTTTTCAATGGCTAACTATTCAACTATTCAACTAATTGACTTTAGTTCAGATTACTTGAGAACATCTCATATAAATAGTTTAGCACTGCAAAACAGAAATGACTCTTGAGTACTGGTTGTTATTATGTATTATCAAGTTGTAATCAACTCATAGTTGACCCTCCAGGTTTTCAGAGGCAGTAAAAATTGCATGACAAGAGACTGCCTATTTTTTCCTCACAGAAAAATCCGCAGAGCAGCTGGTGAATTTGAACTGTGTGCCTTTGGGCTGGTATCATAACTCCTTACCACTAAGCCACCAGGACTCCTGAATAGTATAGTAGTAGGAAATAAATGTTATCTGATGATAAATTAATAGTGAAACTGACCTTAGTGACCCTACATTGCTTGTTCAGTATTTATCTAACATTAGAAATTATAAGCCAAATGTGAATGTCTAAACACAGAATACTATTTTATTTAAGAAACTAGCACAAATTTAACCATTTTGTACACATAAAATCTTAGTATCTGTTCAGTCATCTAAAAAGATTCTCAAAATATTTACTCTCTCAAATACTTGGATTAGATGGTTTCCAAGAAATTATTTTCTTTTGAAGTAGACAGATAATGAACACTGCCCTGTAATAGGTGAATCTGAAATGAATGGACAATCACACATATGCATGGTAATTCACAATCTCGAACAGGGCATGCACTATAAGTTGAACAGGGGAAAAGGGAGAAAATGAGTATGAATGAGGGAATAAAAAACCAATTTCTCTGTAAATTTTCATTCAAATCATAATAAAAAATAATTTTCTTTTGTAAAGAAATAAATGCATTCATCATATTAGTATGAAAGTATATTAACACTTGGGCTTTCTCTCATCTAAAAAGTTTCTCAGAATATACGGCAAAGTAGCAAAATTAGTGCGGATTGATAACACTTAGAGCCTCTTTCTTCAGCTATTTTCTGACAGTTTGTAAAACTGACTTAAGACTGTAAGTGATCAGTACATGGAAAAAGGAGGAGAACGTAGTGATTTGAAATAACTGACCAGGCATTATGCAGGAATTTTTTTTTTGCAAGTTTGTACTAATAGAATGAAGACATTACACTGATAACAAGACATACACATAAACACATTATCATGAAATTCACACCTTGGCCTCTACTACAGCTGTTATATTATTGAAGTCACTGTGTCAGTCTGCATTGCACCATGGAAAGACACCTGACATCACTTAGAAAGACAGAGGACCCTAGAAACCATGGCTGTGTGTGAGTTGTTGTAAAGATTAAATTGAGATACATAAAGCATTCCAGAGAGAGCTTTTACACAGTATGCACTGCCTATAAGTTGGAATATCTGGGTGGTAATAGTTAATCTACCTAGCTACTAACCAAGAGGTTAGAGTTTCAAGACCACTTAGTGATAACTTGGAAGAACGTTCTAGTGATTTACTTCTGAAAAATGGGTCCACTAAAAATTCCGTCGGGCATAGTCTACTCCAGTGCACATGGTCACCATGGTAACCAAGAGCTGGCAACACTACAACAGTAACTTTCTCTTTCTGCCCCAAATTGGCTGTATTTACTTATTACTATTTTAAGAACAGCTCTTGTGGCCAAGTGGTAAGGAGTTGCACTGTCAATCTGAAGGCACGGAGTTCGAATCCACTAGTTGCTCCATGGGAGAAAGAGAGGCAATCACTTCCTGCGTGATTTCCAATCTCTGAATACCCACTGAAAGGCCAGCTGTGAGTCGGCTTCGAAAATACAGTACCTAACAACAATCACCTTGTAACAACTTCGCAAGAAAGGTGTTATTTACTCTTATAAATAGATAAGAAGCCAAGGTTTATGGTACATAAAAATTACCTTATATGGAGTAAAAACTTTTGAGATCACTTAGGTCAACCAAATAATTTTATAAAAAAGAGAGCTTAATCACAGATTTAAAGGCACAGTCAGAGAGATAGGCAGTAGATAAAATGGTAAAGTATGATATCATCAAATAAATTTTTAAGTTATATTAACTTTAGTATTTCTTTTTCAAAGTCAAAACTGTTCACAACAATTAGGCTGACCAAAGTATTGTGATATTTTTAACATGCTATTTGAATATTTCAAGTATTACATTAAAAAGAAAATTTGAAGAAAAAAAAATAGGAAATTGATAAAGTTTTAGAAAACACTAGAAAAAAGGTTTTAAGTGGGAGAAGCAAGTTCTTCAAACTTGAAGAGTGAGAGATAAGGCTGGAAAAAAAATTCAAATTCATTGTCCTAATAAACTGATTAAATCCTAAAAAACTGGTTTAAATTCACTGTACTTGAGTAGGAACCGATTTTGATACTCCAGCAGGTTTTCAAAGGCTGCAGGTTACGAGGGAGGAGAATGCCCACCTCTGAAGTCAGCAGCACAGCTTCCTGTCGATCAGACCACCAGAGTTCACTAGGAATGGAAAGGTATCAATACACTTGAAGGCCACCAGCAAACAAAGCCAAAGAGAAAGAAATAGACGATTCCTACCAATCTTTCCAGTCAGAAATCAACAGAATATGCAATCAGGATGCACTAACAGTAATAGGTGACTGGAAGGCAAAAGCTGGGAACAGAGAAGGATCAGTTCAGAAAACATGGGCTTGGTGACAGAAACGAGGCCAAGATAATTTGTAGTAAGTAATTTATTTATTGCAAATCTTTTTTAAGAAAGATAAATGGTGACTATACACATGGATCTTACTTGATGGTCTGCACAGGAATCAGATTGACTATATTTGTGGAAAAAATGATTGGAGAAGCTCAATATAAGTTGTGAAAACTAGGCCAGGTGCTGATTGTGGACCAGACCTACTCATTCAAGTTTAAAATGAAGCTAAAGAAAATCCAGAATAACCAAATTTGACCCTGCCTCTGGAAACTTAGAGAAATGACAATAGTTATAGAACAGAGCTCAGGTCTTTTTTATACAGGGTCACTATGAGTCGTGCTTGACTTGAAGGCAATCAACGACTATCCTACTTGAATTTTAAAAAACCATCTCAGGAACAAGTTTAAGGCTCTGAATACTAATGAGTGAAGGCCAGATGCACTGTGGGAGGATAGCAATAATATTATCCATGAAGAATGCAAAAGATTATTACAAAGATGAAGGAGGAAGAAAACACCCAAGACAGATGTTGGAAGACACTGAATATAGCACTACAATGCCAAGAAGTCAAAACAAAGGGAAGAAATCAGGATGTTAAGAGCTGAATAGAAAGATTTCAAAGGACAGTTTGGGAAGACAAAGTATTATAATGAAATGTACAAAGAACTGGAGTCGGAAAACCAAAAGGGACAAACTTACTTGGCATTACTTACGCTGTAGGAACTGAATAACAAATTCAAGCCTCAAGTTGCAATACTAAGGATGCTAGGGACAGAATACTGAATGATCCAAAAAATAAAAAAAAAAAATAAAAAAAAAAGATGGAAGGAGTACACAGAGGCACTGTACCAAAAAGAAATGGCTGACACAGAAGAATGTCATAAAACAACTTATGTTCAAGAGGAAATTGTGATGAAGGAGGAAGTGCAAGCTACTCTGAAGGAACTGGTAAAAACAAGACCCCAGGAACTGATGGAATAAGAATTCACATATTTCAACAAACAGATATAGCCCTGCACATGCTCACGAGGCTGTGCTAAGAAAGCTGGAGGACAACCACCTGGCCAAAAAACTGGAAAATATGCATATTTATTCCTATCCCCCAAAAAGGTGACTCAACAGACTGTGGAAATTATCACTACAGTATCACATGCAAACAAAATTTTACAGAATATTATCCAAAATGACTGGAACATCAACAGAAAACTACCTGAAACTCAAGCTGGATTTAGAGGAGGCCATGGCACGAGGGACATCACTGCCAATGTCAGATCGATCCTGGCTGAAAGCAGACAGTACAAGTGTAATATCTGTCTGTGTTTCATCGACTATCTAAAGGCATTTGACTGTCTAGATTACAACAAACTGTGGTTAACCTTGAGAAGAATGGGAATCCCAGAACCCCTGACTGTGCTCATGCAAAATCTATACTTGGACCAGGAGACAGTCATCAGAATAGTGCAACGAAACACCGCATGGTTTAAAATCAGGAAAGGCACGCATCAGGGATGCGTCCTGTCTCCATACCTTTTCAATCTGTATGTGAAGCTCATCTGG